TTGTTGGAAGCTGTAGAAGCTCTGATTTATAGACTTGCAGTGCGCCGCCGAGCCGAGCGTGACGCAAAGCCGTGGGTGACGCAGAAAAAAGAATGAGAAAGAAATGGCCTCTCAAAATCCTTCCCGCCCCCAGTATTTCGCGTGGCCATTTCTTTCTTACGTTTTTTTTTTCCCGCGTCACGGGCGACGGACTAAGCGAAAGAAGGACGCCTTCATTGCGTTCTGAACAAATGAACGTTCGGCCATGCATTAATTTCAAGGAAACCCTGACAGGCTGGATGCAAAAAAGCAACTCGATTAAATTTTTCGTTTTCATCCTTTTTGTGTAAAACTGCAAATATCCAGCTATCTGCCTAGAAGTACTAATTAAGAAATCACTACAAACTTTACTCACGGCAAGACAATGCTATCTAACAGCAAAACAAAATTAACTCACGGAATTTCTGTCGCTAAGTCGCAGACGTTCCTCCGGGCGAAACGTCCCCATCGGCGAAGAGTGAGGAGAAACGGATGTTTTCGCAGGCTAGGCAGAACACCAACTCGCGGCAAAACAGAATTTACTCACGGCAAAACAAAGAAAACGAGTTGGTCAGCGATTGTTATTTGCATTTAAAGTGGTACGCCGTGTAACAGTAACACACCGCTCGCTAGGAAACCGCCAGTGCAGTGCAGTTTCCCTTATCTGCGAATTATGTCGAATGTCGGTCGTTTCGCCTACAAGTCGATTCGCCTACTGATCGAATTTGTTTCGCCTACACGAAGCTGACCTCGTTTATGAGTTGATAATTAAAAAGAATTTTTACTTTCAAACAAGGTTAGTTGGGCTACTTTAAATACGCACAAAAGAATTTTAAATTGGCAGCCATTTATTAATAGGGTCTATAAAAGGGCAGTGAATTACAGACCGAGCAGTTTGTCCGACTTCTCACGTGCCTATCGTTACTAGGAACTAAAAGAGATGCAAATACGAATGCTTTAGATTAAGAAACGTACCTTTACCACAGCCTTTGCAAAAATTGGCATTTTGATCGACTAACGAATACTGCTCCATTTCTATCGAGCCGTGAAAAATGAAACATTGATCGCGAAAAAAGAATTTAGTTTCAGAGCTGATTAACGAAAAAACTAATTGTTCCTCTAAATAGAAACAAAAATGTGAATCGAAAAATATAACTTAACCCGGCGTAGCTAATCGAACAAAATTGAACGGATTTTAATCGATGAGGTTTGGGGTAATCGAATAGTGGCGACAGTTTGGCTTGCTCGATAATTAAAAGCACGACAACATTTTGTGTCTGATAGGATGGTTTTGTAGCTGTACTAGAATTTGCTCTCTATTCCCGGGTCAGTTGTATCCAATCTCCTAATTGCCGAGCCGGCAATCGAACGTGTTTCATGGATTCTGTTCGATTATGTTCGATTTCCGAACCCAGTTGAACTCAATCCACCGGATTGAGTTCGATTCGATTGATGTAGGTTAAAAAAATGACTTATGTCAGGAAATTTTGATATCCAAACAGTTGATGTATTAGAAAAAATATTACTTTAATGTCTATGAGTTTCTCGAAGAATAAATTCACGCATTTGTAGCAAAACTCGGTAACAGATGTTTCTGTTGGTTTCCGTCCGCCATGTTGGAGCTCATACAGGTGAGCACCAGCATGGCGTCTCCATACAAATCTCTATAAGTTTGGGTAAAACATTTCTTTTGATATCTCGTATACGAAATATTCCTCTGACCTGAATCTTGGCGAGGGTCTTTGTATATGTACCTCCTTTCATTTCCCAGAATCTGGACTTTATCTATTGAACGGTTTTGATTTTTATTTTGATCTATTTTGAATGGCGTGACACTGAAAACCAGCAATTGTTCCTGTTAAGTTTCGATTTGGGCGAAATCTGGATTTTTTGGCGTTAATTTTATTGCCGTTGGCTGAAGGACCAAAAGATAGGAAGCAATTTGATGCCGATTGAAGGCTAATTTCTTCTGCTAGCTTCCATACAAGCTCAGGCAATTGTGAAAAGAATACGCAGAAATGAAACAGCAACAATAAATACTGTAAGAAAGAAACCATTGAGACATTGATGTCACTGAGAAGAACTTGTGCTCTTGTGGAGGGGAGCTTCGTGAAGCAGAATGTTTGGCAACGACGCGTTAGTAAACTTTTAAATGAACCTCCCTACGGCCGACAAAATCAAACAAACAGGCGGGCGCTACATGTTTACAAAAACTAGTTCAATAAAAACATAATATAATTTTTGACTAACCTTTGCGATGATTCATAGCGTTGAGATTGCATTTTTATTTATGTCTTTTAAACGTTTGAAGCTAGAACGCGAGCAAATCAGGCAGCTATTACTGGACTTGGAACAATGACCTCTGACACGAGTTTCGAAAATCTGTTTTTAAAGCGCGGAAAGAGATTTTCGGGTCGCGAGGCGGCCCTGGTAGCGATAAAATCGCGATGAGTCTTCGTGCCGCGAGCCAAATTTTAAATAAGACGAAAGACTTCTTCGAAAGTCTAAAATATTACTTGAGAATATAAACAACAAATCTCCGTCGGCGGTGCGGTCCGGAAGCAGGCGGCGTGCGTCACGACCCACAAAGGTTCATGGGTAAGACTGTTCATGTGCCTCATTTCAATCGTGACACGATCGAAGTCGCATATCGTGAGAGAGAGAAATCAAAACCCGGGATCAAAATACTGCTTCCTTTTCTGAAAAAAGTTACGGAAGAGAGCGATTTGGAGAATTTTCAAGATCTCATACTGGCCTTAGATGCTTGCTATTGGCTTCATAAGGTAATTCCAATTAGTTTATCGCGATTCACAGACGATCGAAGGTGCGATTTTAGGCGGCGATTTCCTGCTTCTCAGGAGATTTTAGGTACTGTTTAGTGCTGTGGTTATATGTATATTCTATCTCAGAAGAGTGAAAGAGATCTGTAGTTCATACCTGGATTTGCTTAAATAAAATATTAGTCCATTTGAAGGTAACGTTTGATGGACTTTATTAACTGGGCAAGGAGGGGGAGCGCGAACAAAGAGCAAGGTGAGAAATCTTGCATCGTCTCTCATAGCAATTTTATTTTCATCGACAATTTTATATTATTTTGCAAACACTAACAGTTTGTAATCCTTATGAGCAAATAAATCTTCTATAGGCAAGGGAAAAACAGACCAAAAGTAGCACCCGAACAGCTACTGCAACATCACAATGGGAATTTCACCGAAGCTACGGCCGCAGAAATAAACCACAATCTTGTCTGTACGTTCATTAAAGTGAGCGCAGTGTATCGATTTTTGTTATAAACCTAACCTCACAGTTTTAAAATCCTGCATGATGTTGTCCAGATCTTCGATAATGGTTTTGTGTTTTGGTAGAGATTTATTCCCTCGCGTAAGTTAACATGAAGATTTGCATACACATAGCACACTAAAGACACGCTTTCAGTTTCCGCACTGGGTTATAAAAATGTTTTGTTTCCAAAGGTTAACACAACATTCAAACTTCTTTACCTTTTCTGTTTTAAAATGAAACAAACTCTTCCTGGATTTTGCGTTATATACTCGCTTCACGTCGGCTTTCGCTTCGGCAAGTTTCTCAGCACGTTTCCCGGGAGTTGTGCTACTTGGCTGAGACAATCTCTTCTTTCCACGGCACTTTCAACGCTTCTTAACGGGGAAACTAACAGGGGTAGACCCAGGTAGACCCCAAAATTTACAAAGAAGAAAGGTTGAAGTAACAAGTTGACCGAAATAATCCGATAAAACCGCTAACAGTAACCAGCAATGAATCCAAGAAGAACGGCGAAAATAACACTCAAATCATCATGGCGGCTTGCACCTGACCGAGCAATTCAATTTTGTCACAAACGCTCAAGAAAGCAAAATATTTAAAACTAACGCAACTGCTATCAAGATAAAGCGTTCCAACATCTTTCCACGGCGGTATGGTGTCGAAATTATCTACACAAACTTGGAATATAGCGAAAATTTTACCACATATACCTCTGAAAACAGCTCTTTCCAAGCGCGAAAATCACTCTACAAATGACGCATTCTGATTGGTAGAATCTCGACACGCACACCGCCTGGTCCGGAAAGAAATCTTGTCGAGTCAATATGACGGTTCTATTGTCTTTTGAAGAAAAAACAGATGACGCTCGCACGTGCGCATAAGCGGGACACTGTCTCTTTAATTGAAAAGTCATTTACCCGCAACGGCCTCAAGTGGGGTTTTTGATTGACTTCTCGGTTGGAAACTCATTTGAGAGCGTCAGGATAATCATGATTAATTTCTTTCAGATGTTTTCAAAATCGGACAAAATAACCAGGTGCAGGAATGGGCATAGCCCTATTTGCAAAACAAACTTCGGACAAAAACTCCCAATTCCCTATCATCAAGCGAAAACATTAAAAAACTCTATGAATAGAAAGCAATTATGAATTTAAAAGATTATCTTATAATTAGGCATGCGCGTCCACACGATCAGCCTCCGCGGAAGTCGGCGACAACAGCCAAGAAGTGAGCATTTCCTGCTCAGTTGAAAAGTGATTTTTACCTCAGGGTTACCTTATTACTTTTTTAAAAAAGTGAGCCATAAAACCAAAACCCTTTCACAGTCATCTCGCGTGATCATTCGGTACAGTGCATTGTCCAATACTTGAAAAATATTGGACCAGCAATGAAGCACTCTGATTGGCTGGTTTTAGCTATTGGCCCTCTGAACCAACAAAGGAAGTTGGCCAACCTTCTCTTTAATTTAATTGAAGACAGTTCCTTTTCAAACTTGATTCTTGCGTTGGATCCCAACCTGGTTCCTAACTAGGTTGCTTTTTCCCCTCGTCTCCTTTTGCCTCAAGTTAAGGGCCACCTTGAATTGAAGGCAGAGGCAATTGTAAAATTGAGCAAGCGAAGCCGGCTGGTCAAAACGATCCTTAAACTTGATAAGATTACTTTGTTATGTAGACTGTACACATATGTTTGAACAACTGTAAATGGGAGCTCCAGGGTCGACTGCCGAACATCGTTTTTGCTCGTTTGCACCAATAAGGAATGGTAGTCAAGCGAAATGGTACGTGGACGGACAGGACTATATGGCAGCTGTTGCTGATTCGATTGAAGCCGCGGAAAAGGAGATCTTCATCACAGACTGGCAACTCAATCCACACATCTTCATGAAAAGGCCTGACTTGGGAGTCGATAGTTTACTTTGGCGTCTGGATAAAATGTTGCTGAGAAAAGCTGAGCAAGGTGTTCGCACGTACATATTACTCTACTGGGAATCGAAAATCGCGGGTATGGACCTTGGTAGTGAATATGCACAAACTGCTCTGCGTCATGATAACATCGAGGTTCTTCGTCATCCAGATATGAGTACCCTCTTGCTTAATCCTTCCACCATGTTCCGGTGGAGTCACCATGAGAAAGTGGTGGTTGTTGATCGAAGTGTAGCGTTCGTTGGGGGCATTGATCTTTGCTTTGGCCGATGGGATACTCACAGCCACCTGTTAACAGATCCCTTTCCACCTCATCCCTGTGTGTTGGAGAGTGATGAGTATGCTAGAATTCCTCAGGAATCTACAGTGCAATATTCACGCTGGATAGGTAAGGACTATGGTAACACCTTCCTTCATGGTGCAAGAACTAACCTGGATGAGCCGATGAAGGATGATGTTGATAGACGTAAAGATCCTCGCATGCCATGGCATGATGTGGCTTGCTCAGTTTCTGGACCTCCTGCTCTTGATGTTGCCACACACTTTATTGAGAGATACAAACATCTCAAGCCACGTTACGGCTTTCAAGATATTCAACTGAATACTGAACTTCATCAGATTTCAGATCCAAGTGGTAGGAATCTCACGATACAAGTTCTCCGTTCAGTGGGCGAATGGTCAGCCGGTCAGCCAAAGGAAACCTCTATCTACAATGCTTATCTACACGCGATTGAGAATGCAGAGCATTTTATTTACATCGAAAATCAATTTTTCATCTCATCTCACGGGAATGTGTACAATAAGGTAATGTCAACGTTGGCTGACAGAATTTATCGTGCTCATCAAGAAAGTCAGGATTTCCGCGCAATGGTCATCATACCATTAAAGCCAGAGTTTCCAGAGAAATGGGACACAGACGTTAATTTAAGATTTGTGAGCAACAAGACTTATGCCACCATCTACCGTGGGAAAGAGTGTTTGATGAACAGGCTGAAAGAAAAGGGAATTCCATCAGAAGCAATACCTAACTACTTCAGTGTGTATGGTTTGCGGAGACATGGGTCTCTAAATGGGAACCTTGTGACGGAGATTGTTTATGTGCATAGTAAGCTGATGATTGTTGATGACCGAGTGGCTATCATAGGGTCAGCAAACATCAATGACCGCAGCATGCTTGGAGACAGGGACTCAGAAGTAGCAGTAATCATACAAGACAAGGAAATGATGGAAGGGAAGATGAATGGAAGACCCTACCAAGTGGGAAAGTTCTCTCACAGTTTACGTTGTCACTTACTAAAAGAACATCTTGGCCTTCTATCAGAAACGACTGCGACACCACTAAATATCAAGGTAGAAGACCCATTGACAAACGCCTTCCACGATACCGTTTTAGAACTAGCTGAGGAAAACACTCGTGTTTTTGAGAGCGTATTTCAGGGAAGAATACTTCCAACAAATAAAGTACGGAACTTTGATGAACTTAAGGAGTGGAAATCACGTTCAGATGTTGCTGATCATTATTTGGAGTTGCCTAAGATTCAGGAAAGAATTGTCCTCTTTCCACAATTCTTCTTGGAAGACTGTTTAAAACCATCTTCCTTTAAGGCGTCGGCGAAGGATCGTTTAGGTATATATTCGCTCAGGTGATAGATAAGCGATCACACATTTATGGGAGTAACGCATTAAAGAAAACGCCCAAGCGGAAACGGGATCGCGTCTGCACAGCGCAAATCTAAAAGGCGAACACAGCAAGGCTCAGCAATATGTATGAGGTAGCTTATCGTTTTAACATTGTTGCGCTGTTTTACTGTTTACTTAGTGTGGTCCCTGACATTTTATTTTTTCATTCTGCCAATAAAATGAAAAGGCCGTAAAAGCGAGCGATAGAACAAAACCCTCTCGTCCGTCGCTACGTGATTTCGCGACTCGTTTTGAAGAATTATTTAGAATTATTTATATCCGATACCTTCTTGAACGGGATTGATTACCACGGTGGAAAAAAATGCTCGTCTGCGTGACAAGAGTAAAAATATATTTTCTATGGTTTTCGTCATAACGTGCTCGAAACAGGAAAATACTCTCTTCGTTAACGAATAATTCGTGCCCTTTCTTATTCTTATTCATTTAATCGTTATTACCTGTGTAAACAAGAACCAACAAGGGCGACGCTGCCTTCATAGACTACGAGTACTGCGTCTTTCGGTTAGTCCGCCGAGCGTGACGCAGAAAAAAGAATGACAAAGCAATTTAAAATTCTTTTGTGTGTTTTTAAATTAGCCCAACTAACGTTGTTTGAAAGTAAAAATACTTTTGACTAATCAACTCAAAAACGAGGTTAATTTCGCGTAGGCGAAACGAATTCGATGTAGGCGAATCGACTTGTAGGCGAAACGACCGATATTCGACATAATTCGCACACTGCTCCATTTCTATCGAGCCGTGAAAAATTAAACATAGACTATGAGTACTGCGTCTTTTGGTTAGTCCGCCGTGCGTGACGCGGAAAAAAGAATGACAAAGCCAATTTAAAATTATTTTGTGTGTATTTAAATTAGCCCAACTAACGTTGTTTCAAAGTGAAAATTCTTTTGAATTATCAACTCAAGAGCGAGGTTAGTTTCGTGTAGGCGAAACGAATTCGGTGTAGGCGAATCGACTTGTAGGCGAAACGACCGATATTCGACATAATTCGCATACTGCTCCATTTCTATCGAGCAGTGAAAAATGAAACATTGATCGCGAAAAAAGAATTTAGTTTCAGAGCTGATTAACGAAAAAAAAACAATTGTTACTCTAAATAAAAACAAAAATGTGAATCGAAAAATATAACTTAACCCGGCGTAGCTAATGGCACAAAATCGAACGGAATTTTAATTGAACTCAATCCATGTATTGAGTTCAATTAAAATTCCGTTCGATTTTGTTCCATTAGCTATGCCGGGTTAAGTTATATTTTTCGACTGGTTCGGTAATCGAACGAAACCAAACTCACAAAAAATTTGGGGTAATTGAAAAGTAGCGACAGTTTGGTTTGCTCAATAATTAAAAGCACGACAACATTTTGTGTCTGATAGGATGGTTTTGTAGCTGTACCAGAATTTGCGCTCTATTCCCGGATCAATTGCATCCAATCTCCTAATTGCCGAGTCGGCAATCGAACGTGTTTCATGGATTCTGTTCCATTGTGTTCGATTTCCTAACCCATTTGAACTCAATCCACCGGATTGAGTTCGATTGGGCTCGATTAAGTTAATCTAACTCACAGAAAATTTCCTTGTTCGATTATGTTCTATTACCGAATCAATCAAACTCAATCTATGGATTGAGTTCGATTAACTTCGATTGAGTTCGATTACCGAACGTTCGATTAGCTACGCCGTCAACTTAAATATTCGAGACGAATGAAAAACAACTTATTCGAAGAACATAGACGATTTGGACTCGCTCGCCGCCAATTTAAAACACTGTAAATTTCAGGAAGGACGAAATACCTTTGACGTCCTTTTAATTTTATGTACCAAGGGATTTTCATTGATGTAGACTTTGTCCTCGAGTGGTGATTTAAAATGAAAACGCGTTTTAAATCGACGGTTTTTGGTCCCCCGAGTTCGCCTAGAAGAATTGGCAGGTATATTTTGCAGTTTCTAGGTTGCAGGTTGAAAAATCAACTTTTGAGGCTGGGTTAGCCTACATAGCACTCCGGTTAGCCTAAATCAGCTTAGGTTGCTTGCGGTTAGACTTTGTGTTGGAGTTTATTCAACTTCAATTCGATTAAACAGGTTATTTCGATCTGCAACCTGCAACCTGCAACCTGCAAAATATACATGCTGCGGAAGAACGCATTTTTTAACTGGTGTGCGTGCATTTGTCGATACTCGATCGATATATCGGTCGAGTATCGACCGAGACTTGACCGACAATCGACCGATATATAATCGATAGTTGACCGATATAGTATCGTGATCGATACGTCGACCGACATTAAGTGGACTATCGGTCGATACTCCACCAGTACTAAATCGAGTATCGGTCGAGTATCGACCGATATATCAACCGATATATCGATCGATACATCGGTCGAGGCCCCCCATAAGTACCTAGTCGCGGTTGTGATTTTTTTTACTGAGAGTGACAGGAGTTTTTAAAAGGATCTGATCGTATCTTAGGATGATCGAAGTTTTCCGAGCTAGGAATAGTTTTGAGTTCACTTTGAACATTGGTTACATCCGATAATCTGATCGTTGGAAACAGTTTGTTAACCACAAAAATAGACAGTATTAGCGATTATTACTTAGAGAAATGTTTTTTGTACAGCTGTGAGTGGAATCCAATTGTGGAGCAGCTTATCAGCTTTGCGACAAGCAAAAACTCTGAGAGATTATTTCAAAACTGAAATAACTATATGTCGCCACAGTTTTGCCTTGAATTTACATGGCATCCTCGAAAAGCAGCTTCTTTTACATTTTAATGTAATCCTCTTATAATTTTAGCTCTTATCTATACCGAGTTAGTTACTGAGTGTGTTTTTTAAAAGGATCTGATCGTATCTGAGGATGACCGAAGTTTTCCGAGCTAAGAATATTTTTGAGTTCACGTTGAACATTAGTTACATCCGATAATCTGATCGTTGGAAACAGTTTGTTAACCACAAAAATAGACAGTATTAGCGATTATTACACAACCCCTTGCTTATTACTTAGAGAAATGTTTTTTGTACAGCTGTGAGTGGAATCGATTTGTGGAGCAGCTTATCAGCTTTGCGACAAGCAACAACTCTAAGAGATTATTTCAAAACTGAAATAACTACATGTCGCCACAGTTTTGCCTTGAATTTACATGGCATCCTTGAAAAGCAGCTTCTTTTACATTTTAATGTAATCCTCTTATATATACCGAGTTAGTTAATGAGTGTGTTTTAGCATCGTATAGCAGAAGGAATTTTACCGTGTTTAAATAAAGTTATCTTGAGTTATCTTACATGCATGTATGTACCGTATGTGCATACACCCTCCGGAGGGAGGAGGGGAGGGGGTGCTCCATCATATAGTCTCTACAAAGAAAATTACCAATTTGTCAATACCCAGAGCTCGGTACTCAACAGGCCTCCAGATTGGAGGTATTTGTCCATCATAACGTAGGCAGTTTTAGGTTTCAACCCCCAGAAACACTTTTACAGCAAGACATGGGTCGAGTGCCTGCTGCCTTCTCTCTGCTTCCCACATAATTTATAGAATTAAATTACCAAAAGAAACTTGCCACCATCTTGCCGCTCAAACGAGTTGTACCAGCAAACCCTTAAACACTGACTAAATTCGCTAACACATTCGAAGCTAAAGATTTGAAAATCTTATCCCATAAAAGAGAGTCAACAGGCTTTGGAAATTCAGCAGCTTAGCTAAGGTAGAGTCGCAATCGAACAAAATGGAGCTTATCCAAGAGCATGTACCATGAAACAATTTGCTGTATTGCTTTTCCATCTGGTTAGGATGGTAGTCTAACACCAAGTGGTCCTTCCCTTTTGAAGGGTTTTGCTTTAACAGTTATATTGTTCCCCTCCTGGGTGGAGAGAGGTCTGTTAGAGTTGACTGTCCTGCACAGGAACACAAATAATTCATTTATTACCCAAGCTTGTTCGGTCAGGATTTTATGTTTATGGATCTCGACTGTGTCTCACTTCATAACCACTCCAACACAAATAAATCATTTATTAACCAAGCTTGTTCGTTCAAGATTTTTTGCTTATGGATCTCGACTGCGTCTCAGTCCATAAAGACGCCAAAATACAAAATCGTTGTCAAAATCCAGACACGCTTGGTCAGTAACCCATATCCTGGACTCCCCTTATGCAGCTTACAAGGCCCCTGTTCTATCCCACTGAGTCATAGCTGACAATTATGTTGAGCATTTCAAAATTCTTACTTGTAATTGCATAAGCAGACGCCTTTTCTACTGTCTTGATTACCAGCATCATTGATCAAGTCACTGACCTGATCACCATCATCATCATCATCAAATCCTTTTAGATCCCGAGTACATCTGAGGAATAGGGCGGAAAAGGTTTGAGATTTTGCTATAGCTTTTCGGGGTCAATGCTTTTTGGGACTTTCAAGAAATGGGCCCCTGACCCTTAAATCAATAACCTGTTTCAGACCTGCCTTATAATTAATGTTAAAGGCATTGTGAAGGGCTTTTGTTGATGTTCTTATTGATAATGATGAAAAGGTAGTTTCTTCTAAAAACATACACAATTCAAGACTAGGGTGCAAAATCCATACCCTATTTGAGACCAATATGGCCAAAGTCGATAACCTATTTCTGACCAAAACGGCCAAAAAACCACACCCTTTGGGTATAGTTTAGACCAGCAGATGCCTTTTCTACTGTCTTGATTACCAGCTTCATCGATCAAGTCACTAACCTGATCATCATCATCATCATCAGATCCTTTTAGATCCCCATGTACATACAAGGAATAGGGCGGAAAATCTACAATAAAAACACTACGCGTACCCTGAGACATGTCGACTACTAACCTTGTCTGAAAATTTATTGCCCTTCTCAGTGCACTATACCTCTCTCCCTCTCTCTCCTGTAAA